CTTTGACCCGCTCAAACTCTCAAAGAGCTAATGCTTTCCAGCCTGACGACCTCATTCTGGCGTTTTTCTGGCAAATGGTGGCGCCCTAAAACTAATTGAGAGCGAAGGTATAAATCGTCTCACCTTCTTTTATTTTTTCCCTGTGCTGATGCTCAACTTCTGCTCAACTTTGCAGTCTATTGTATTTTGTGTTTTTCAGTTCCAGGAATGGATTATTTGATCAGTTAGGAATTCTTTTCTGATGCTTAGTTTCCCTATTGTTTTATGCCTTGTGTTCTTGGTTACGTGGCTTGTATATTGAGCTGACAAATCTCTGTCATTTTACTTTTCTTTGAAAGATATGATTGAATTTAAGTATTTTGGCAAATTTTAAGGCATATGGTTCTAGTTGGCTTACTATTTCAATGTTGTTTGCCTTTATTTTTCCCTTGATGCGTCTAAAGTGTGCGTTTTTCCAACAAATGTCAAAATGATGTTGCAGAAAAGATATCGGCAGAAAATGGCTAGAGAAATTGCACATCTTTATGCTTTGGATTTGTTTTCTTCTGTCTTTAATATTACAGATGGCTAGATGGGATGAAATTCTCTCCCTGCCAGTGCAGAGCCCTCCAACCTTGGAGTTTGGTGCTACCGACCTCGTGTGGTCACGTGTCGAAGGCTGGCGTGACAACATAGACAGGCTAGCCTTAATCCCTTTCGCCAGGGTGGACGATTTTGTCAGGGGCGAATCAAACAACAAAGAATGCCCCACAAGATTCCATGTTGAGGCAAGGCGAAGGCGCCCTCCGAAGATGCCCTTCAAACCCAAAGTCGACGGCATACTTGAATATATCCTGTATGTCTTATCTGTATGTTTTTATTTTCATCATTAAGGGTGTGTGATTGGATATGAATTTAATTTGGTTTTGATTGGTTTTTTTGTTAACTATAATTAATTTTGAAAAAGTGGTTAAGTTAGGTTTGTTTGGGATTTTGAGTTTGTATTAGAATATTAGTTTAAAATAGAATGATTAAAGTTGATTTGATGTAAAAGTAAAAGATACGTGGTTGGAAGTGATAGGTAGTTGAAATTATGTGAGTACATGAATAGTGACTTAAAGTTGTAAGGATGATTGATTGATATTATTTAATTACATTGATAATATTTAGGATAGTGAGGTTGAGTTAAAGTTGAGTTAAATTTGAGTTTTGATTGTTTTTTTTTTTTTTTTTTTTTTTTTTTTTTTTTTTTTTTTTTTTTTTTTTTTTTTTTTTTTTTTTTTTTTTTTTTTTTTTTTTTTTTTTTTTTTTTTCCGGTTGGGTTGATATCCAATCACACCCTTAAGAATTATCACCTTTGTTTTGTTTATAATATTCAAAACTATCTCTTGCCACGTATATTTTTACTATTCATTTTTTTTTTGGCTAGGTACTGGTGTTCCTTTGGCCCGGATGACCACAGAAAAGGAGGCATCGTACGTCCCAGCCGGACGACCTACGTGCCAAAAAAGAAGCCCGCGGGCCGGCCCAACACGAAGAGGGGCTGCACGTGCCACTTCATCGTGAAGCGCCTGATTGCGGACCCCTCAGTGGCCCTCGTCATATACAATCAGGACAAGCACGTGGACAAAAGGGGGCTGCCATGCCATGGGCCCCTTGACGAGGAAGCCGCTGGGACCCGCGCCATGTATGCCCCCTACATCTCGGAGGAGCTGCGCCTTCGTGTACTGTCCCTTCTCCACGTGGGGGTCTCGGTCGAGACCATCATGCAGAGGCACAACGAGTCGGTCGAAAAGCAGGGGGGCCCGTGCAATAGGGACGACCTATTGACACACAGATATGTCCGTAGGCAGGAGAGAAGCATAAGACGGTCTTCGTATGAGCTGGATGAAGATGATGAGGTCAGCATTGGCTTATGGGTCGAGACCCACAGGAGCAGCGTTTTCTTTTACGAGGATTTTTCTGGCTCGGACCCTTTTACCCTCGGCATTCAGACCGAGTGGCAGTTGCAGCAGATGATTCGGTTCGGAAACTGCCGCCTTTTGGTTTGTGACTCGAGATTCGGTTCTAATAAGTTGAAGGTCCGTGCAATATATAATATAACTTTACAACAATTTATCGGATTATGTAAGGTTTGATTTTATTTACTGCCACTAATTTATTTTTTTTAATATTTTTGTTGTTGATTACTAGTATCCTGTTTATAGCCTTGTTGTGTTCAATTCGGACAACAAGGCTATCCCGGTGGCTTGGGTAATTACGCCTAGGTTTGCAAGCAGAGATACGCACAGGTGGATGCGGGCCCTCTACAATAGAGTTCGTGCAAAGGACCCAACTTGGAAATTGGCCGGGTTTGTTGTGGATGAGCCTTCAGCTGATATCCTGGCTATCAGGTCCCGCATTAAATTCATTGTGTCATTTCAGTTTATGCTGTTTCTTTAACTGTATCCTTCATGTGTGTCTGGTGGGAGTTTATTATAGAGTCCTTATTTCCAGAGAAGTAGTAGTATTGATATTCTAATGCTGCATTGCTCATGAAAATGGAGAGAAAAATACAAGATATCTTTTGGTGAACATCTGTTCTGCATCTTGTTCTTGGTTCAGTTCAAGTGTTATTTATGCAAAGGGAACTGTGTGATACTGTTACCGAAGGAACATTAATATCTGCTTCATTTCGTGTTTGTCTTCCTTATTTGATTTTCAAAAGTTTGATGCTTGTTGGTGTTTGCAGGGAAGTCTTTGAGTGCTCAGTACTGATATGCTTTTGGAGAGTTCGTCATTCGTGGCATAAGAATTTGATGAAGAGAGTCTCAGATACCGATAAACGTGTTGAGATAGCCAAAAAACTCGGTGATGCTGTCCAGAAAACATGTAAAGGAGCTGGCACGGCCAACGCGTTCGAAAATTTCATTGTGGAATCTGTAGATGCTGCAGCGTTCATGGACTACTTCAAGGCAATTTGGTACCCGAGGATAGGTATTGTTGTTTTCTTTAAAAAATTAACAGTTAGTAAATCTGTATTCCACCATATGGCCAAACTCCTGCCGAACCTTTGCTATCCATACCATGACACAGATTTATTATTCAAATCATATATTAAGCATTTTTCTATTGTTCATTTATAATTCTTTTGATCAGGTATGTGGACACGAGCTCTCAAAACTCTTCCCTTTGCCAGCCAAGAAACCTGTGGTGCCATGGAGTTTTATCACAAGCAGCTCAAGATTCGGCTCACGAACGAAAAAGACAAAAGCGTGTACAGACGTGCGGATTGGCTCGTGAACAAGCTATTCAACAAAGTTCACTCTTATTTCTGGCTCGACGAGTACTCACAGAAAGAGGATTACGAACGGTATAGGAAAGACGAGTGGATGAGCGGCCCCACTGCCTGGCGTAAGTCGTTGACAATCCCAGATTCTTGTGTAACAATGGAGAACACATACGCTAAAGTTATTACGGAGCTGGACAAGGAAAAAACGGTGCATTTAGTTCGAAACCCTGGTTCGGAGTACGCGATCTGCGACTGTGAGTGGGCCGAAAACGGGAATTTGTGCGAGCACGTTTTTAAAGTGATCAAATTTTGTCGTGAAAATCGATTAAGTACCCCATCACTGAGTATGTTCCAGTATGGTCAGTCCTTGATTAATATGCTGCACTCACATCCGTGCGATTCTTTAGTTCGTGATCATGCGGTTACTTTAGCCGTCTGGGTACAGTCGCAATTGAAAAGGCCAATTGGTCGAGAAAACGGAAATGCTTCGGGGGATGAAGCTTACGAGCCATCTGTTGATAATCAGTTAATTATTGCTAAACGTAGGCGTGCAGACTGTGAAGAAGCAGAGGATAATAATGATCACAGCCCGAATCGTGATCGGGCGGGTGGGGACCGGGTTGAGATTCCCGGGCCTGACGTGGAAGTTGACTCATCATCGACAAACGAGAATCTTTCAGCTACAGACGGTCAGTTGAAGAATCAGGAAAAGGGGGAATGTGAAACCGACGGTGGTAAAACTTGAAAATTGCGATTGTGTCAGTGATGATGTGGCCTTGTCAGGTAAAAATGGTCAATGATGATTTTGCTAGAGTTGATAAATCCATGAAGTTCAGGTTTTTGTTCAACAAAACACGTTCATGGATGCAAAGGCTACACCTGGCACCAAAAGACCATTTCGGAGCTAATTGACACATCATCAATTTGGGTGAGCTTATAATGTTGATCCCTACAAATTTGGTGAGCTTAACTTGGCAATGAAGAAGATGGGGTCAATAATAACCCAACCTTAGTTGGAGGGCAACTCAAATGTCTGCATGGTACTATTCACTTCGAAATGTTGTACATTTAGCAATTTGGTGAGCTTAAACTGGCGATGAAGATGGGTTTAATAAAACCTGAAAGGATCAACCAACCTAGTCGGATGGTAACTCAAAAGTCCGCATATTTCAATAGGGGTATCGACTTTGTCAGGTGGGTTAGCAGGGCTGCAGCTAGTTTTGATTGATGGTTAGTGTCTAAGGCTCTAAGCCTAAAAGGAAGCTGAAATGGTATAGATGAAGTCGGTGAGCTTTGCGAAGGGCCTTTTTCCGCGCGGTTAGGAGAGCAGTGAACCCGAATGAGAGGTTAGTTTTGTGAATGAGATCCTGGAAAACTTGAATATCTTTATTAGTTATTGTAATTTGTGTACTTCAGCCACGGATGGCTTTACTGGGATTTTCTGGAATCTTGTGACTCAAAAAATGATGCCCAATCATTAGCCATTCAGAACAAAACGACCCCCAAATCACAGGGCAACCATTAGTAATGGATCTATTGTGTTTGATCTGCTGATAAAAAGAAATTTGCAGCAATATTTTGTTCGTAGAGTTCATCTCTGTGTGCGTGATTCAAAAAAAATAAATAAATAAAAATAATAATAATGATGATGATGATAATAATAATAATAATAATAATAATAATAATAATAATAAATTATCTATATGCCTGTGATTGCTTTTTGCTGAAGTATTGTGTGAGTCATCTTTTATTCCATGTCTCTTATATTTTGTTATTTGTTTTGTAATTTAAGGTATATCGACAAGAATCTATATCTATATAATAGATCAATTCTTATTGTCATAATTGACATAGTTTTGGGCGGAATATATATTCGTTTATATTTCATATTTAATTAATAATTATTTATTAGCAATTTTATGCATGAAAAACATAATTAATTTTTATGCACTCTATGATTAATATTCATTAACTATAAATTGGCTTAAATTGAAAATTTGACCGTAGGTTTATTTGATATATTTTCAATAAGGTCTTATATTAATTTAGTAGTAATATATTGACGCAGTTCAAAATATTATTATAAAGATTGATTTGATTAAATATATTATCATTTGTGGTTGTAGATATTAATTTAATTAATTTTATTCACTATTCATAAGTACTTAAATATGTAATGAAATAATCAAAATAATTATGTTTTTTTTGGCCGAAACGATAGAGGTATTATAAAATCAAAATGCACAACAGTGCAAGAAAGCAGCCCAAGGCTGAATATTACAACCAAGAACTAGAAACTGGGAGGACGGATCGAAAGACCGCCTAGAGCCTCGCTAGCCACGCTAGAATAGAAAAACCTACTACAAACAACTAAAAGACACCAACACAACTAAGATCGCTCCCCACGGGAGAATAGGATCGCCCCCCACGGGGGAATCAGCACAGAGGCCAACGGCCCAGACAAAAAACACGACAACTAACAAAGCACCAACACAAACAACTAAACAAGAACAAAAACTAAAAACACAAAAACCAAAAGCAACTACAATCTAATAACAATGCCTCCCTCAACACATATATCCGAAAAGGACAGCAGACAGAGCCGAATCCGAGGAAAGCTTCGAAACTCCGATACCTCGATCACCACTGCATAAGGCCTAGTAAGACGAAGACCCGAGCATAAAGCAAACCAAGAATACCGGCCCGCACTTCATCCGCAAAAAGCCACGAACACCACCCCACCGGCTAACACC